ATCGAATCCCTCGCTGTGCATCCGGACAATCGAATTTTCGTACGCCTTTTCCATAGTTTCGCTTTTCCCATAAAAAAGCGAAACCGACTGGGTTATCTCATCTAGGTATCTTTATAACGTTTCCAAACAAGAAACGATCTTAAAGATACGTTTGAAAAAAAAAAAAAAGAACGGGAGAAATGCTTTCATAAGGCACGCGCAGAAATGCGATATTTGTGGCGGAAGAGTAAAAAATACAACTTCGAAAAATAACAATATGGCCGTCGTTCGATGGCCACACGCTCGATTCTTTTTCTTTTTTTATCCAAAGAACACCCGTTCTACCCGAATTCTAAAAGTTCCTGAACGTACGTCTTACTCCTAGTTGTACCGACCCTTCTTTCTTTCTCTTTTTTTTTGTTTTTCTTGTTTCTTCACGCAGTCTTTAAACAAAGGCACTTCGTTTCCGCGCGGTAATACGAATATATATTATTTGACAAGGCCGCAGTGTTCCTAGACGTAGGCACGGTGCATATGAAACGAGAGGAAATCAATTCCGTTTTCATAACAGAAGAGTTACTTTGGTAATGACTAGGTCATGCACTATCGCTACGCAACGATATACCGTGTTCCTCGCTATAGTCACGCGATCAGCTTCGCTTCTCCGTTTATAAATGGTAGTGAAGGGAACAAACGCTTCGTTTAATATTATGGCTGTGTTTCACGTGTCGCTCGCGCGACCGTACATTAGGATTCTATAGTTGCGAGAGCTAAACTGCTGGAGGATAAAGCAGAGGCACCTTTTGATTTTGCCTTTCCTCGTTCATCCCCAAACTGCCTCCCAAACTTCGTATATCGTTCGATTCTACCGGTGAACATCCCCACTCGGATCGAACAATATCGTGTCGTTCGTCGAAAACGCGCGAAAAAAAATAAAACACTCGAGACAGTGGAACAAACGTGTGTACCAAAACAATTTGGTAGGAAAAAAAAAAAGATTCTCGTACATGGAAGATAAAATACGGAAATATGTATCCTTCTGATCGCTCGTTATACTATCCGCGATTCCTCTTAGAAGAATATCTCGTCCCCAAGGACACTTTTTTTTTTTCTGTCGATTGGGAAGACTAACCCGGTTCCGAACGGTATAAATTAAAACTGAATGCGGTAGTTGCTCGGACGCGGTATGGATCTCGCCTTAGATGGAGGCAACGACGACGTGGAAGCCTCGCTGCTAGCAGTGCCTCCAGAATCGCGTCCTCCGCTCTTGCTGCTCACCGTGCTACCGGTGCTCTGTCCCCGTGAACCAGTCTGCTTCCTCAGGGTACCCTCGCTCAGGCGACCGTACTCCCCGATACGACGAGACGGCGGCGGTATCAGCGAGCGGCTCTGCATTTCCCTATGCTTCGTATCTGAATTCGAAGGCTGTTTCTTGCGAACGTTCTCGCCCTGTAGGCGCTCGTACTCGTGGCTAATCGTGGAAGACGGCTTCTTTAGAGAGTTGTTCGTAACCAATGATTCCGTGGCGGACGATTTCTTTCGACGCTGAGCCTTCATGTCGAATCTGCCGTATTCGATGGTGCAGTTGCTCGCGTCGCGTACCTTCATACTCGCAGAGGAGTCGAGTGCCGGGCCTGGGTCCGATTTCTTGCGTGTCTCCGTGTCGCTTAGCCGACAGTAACGAGAAGAACCAGTCGATTTCATATTCTTCGGTGGCCGCGGTAACGAACTGGGAGGAAGGCTGCCCGCGCGACGTGGCTCGCCCTCTTGCATCCTCTGCCTCTGCGAGCTTCTGCCCTGTTTCTCCAGCAGCATCATGTCTTCAGGCTTACCGTCTGACAATCTCGATACAGTGCCTTTCAGCCTAGAGGCTGCGCTCGCGAATTCCATGATACTCGGCGAGACTTCGCCACCGGAGTCGTCCAACAGGCGACTCTTGCTCGAGGCAGTGCTCGAGGTACCTGTGCTATCTACACCCGCCAATAATGGCTTGGGTATTTTTCCTTTTCGCGACGCAGTGCCTGGATTAGAGAATCCTGGAAAACAGCAAAGTGCCCGCTGAAACAAGAGAAAAACACAGCTTCGTTGGAGAGGAGATCCGGGACCTGGAAAAGAGGTTAGTGCTCGCCACAACAGCGCATGCACACTCAGGGATCACTCGGGACTGGGCTTCGGGGTGGTTTAGTTTGGATTAAGAGGGAGAGCAGGAACGTTCTCTTTTTTTTTTTTTGTTGCTGTTTTTGTTTAACGTATAAACCAAACACGTTGCAAAACACGATTAATACGTAGTTAATTGTAAAACGAAAAATCAATGGCACACAAAGATTTGTATTAGTGAAAATACAGTTTACTGAGTTTTTAAATAAAAAACGAGTAGCAAATGCATTCTTTACATATCATCTATGTATTATATTGTTTTATGATTTATACAGAGTTTGCTTTTTTTATGATATGGCAGTTTTATGATGCGGTAGATGTGATGTTTTTTCGTGTTATCGCGGGTAAAATGTGCTTTTCACTATGCATCGTGCGAATTTAATAAAGTGTAAGCTTTGAAACGAATTTCTTTTAAATGAAAAAAGCTTACTCTGTATATATTTCGCTAACAATGCAAAATAAAAAAAAAATATAAAAAATTCGTTAAAAAAAAGTGAATTAATATGACGCACATCGTTGTGCAAATAATGGCAACAGTAAACACAAGATAAGAATAGTTGATGTGTAATAGCGTAGATTTACTATTATCTTAACCTCTTGATATCATTATGACCCTCGTTTAAAATATAGTACACGTGTGAAAATACACGTCCAAAGTAATTAAAACAATTTTGTCCAAAGGAGAAAAAAAGAAAACATATCAACTATTCTCGTTCACACTACTAACTCAGATATAACATTGAAATACCTTTGACCGTACATCTGTAATATTTTCATAGTCTTCCGTAGCTATAAAGCTAAAGTAAACGCTAAAGAACTGAACGTCACAAAAAAAAAAACATTACGTTGAACGCAGAGTACATAGAAAAAAGAAACAAAATTCTGTGAAAAATGACTGTGAAGTGACTAATAAGATTCGACTTTTAGCTATTTTCTACATAGCCGATGTAAAAAATTAATTTTACTGCCGCGAGATCATTTTTACGTTTACCAATTATACGTTTACTTGGATCTTGCATACCTTACTAAGTAGCTGGGAGTCTAGTTCTTTTAACTGATCATCGAGACTTTTATTCGTTTGCTCGAAGCTGCCTTGCTTTCTATACTTGTAACTGTCCGTAACACTGTATGAACCAGTGCTTCCGTAACCACTGCCACCACCCAATACACTGCTTACTGTTACATATAAAAACCATAATTAAAGGATGACCGATTAGTAGATCGATAGATTTTTCATGGAAATGTTTCTTTTACCAAGTTCTGGCGTGCTTGTAAGCGCAGTATGATGGTCCGCTGATGTGCTTGAATGAGACGAATGAGCGGCAGGATAACTACCAACACCGCTACTGCTACTGCTATCCTTGTCATAGGTATGTTTCTGAAGGACTCTAATCATCGCATCTCTTTCAGCTAATTTTGATTCTAGATCTTTCATTCTATGTAACACAAAAAACTTCCATTAGTTTTATACATAATATGTATATATATGAGAAATAATGTTAATGTTACCTAGATTCAAGATCAGCCAATTTTTTCTGAGCAGCATGTACTTCATCCATGTGTCTCATTTTCTCGGAACGTGCTTCAGCAATTAATTTCTCGGCGTCCTGACTGGTTTTTTCCAACGCAGCTATCTTAGCGTCTCTGATTATTTAATAAGGAAAATAGATTACAATTAATGTATGTATAGCAAATCAAAAATTTTTAAGCGTGGAAACCTACTTTGGTAGACTAGCTGCATCAATTGCTGCTTGCCTTAGTGCACTTTCTTCCAGATAGCGTTGCTCCCACTTCGCAACATCACCTTCGAGTGACATAATTTTTTCGTCTCTTTCACGTATTCGTCGTTTTAATTCTGCGATCGTTTCTCCATTGGAGCATTGCTCATTACCGTTAACACCACCTCCGCCACCGCCGCCACCTTCTCTTAATTCTCGTTCCAATTGGCCTCTTAATTGTCTTTCTGTTTCTTCTCTTCTGTCGCTAGACGCTTGAAGAGAAGACAAAGCTCGTTGAAGTTGACCTACTCTTTCTACGTATACTTGTTTTTTCCGACACTGTGAAAAAAATGTTTATAACGAACAGTTTTGCAAGACATCAGAGCAACTTGCTTTAAAACGAAAAAACAAAACAATTACCTCTTCTTCCAGGCGCACCACATTGCCTTGTGCATTAGTAAGAGCAGTATCTAAAATATCTATGTGTGTACGTTGTTCCTGTAACGTCGCTCGTTGTGCTGCCAATTCGATTTCTTGTCTTTCTTTCGCTGCGGCTAATTCTTTATCTAAAATAAAAATTACTGGTTAGAAAGGAACAATTATTGGAATAAAATTATAATGTCAATAGGAATTAAATATCAATGGATACTAAAATATACTGTACATAACAAGTATAATAATGAATGTTAAAGCATACTTTGCGTAATCAATTGGCCAATCAATAACTCTCGTTGAGTTAATTCCTTCCTCATAGATTCCACGATCGACGGACTACCGGTTGGTGCTGGTAATAAATCTAATTCATGTCTTAATGCACGATTTAATTCGGTTAATCGTCTGCAGTCGTTTTGTAACCTCAATCTAGCAGCTCGTTCCAGTTTTTCTCTTCGTTCACTAGATGCCGCCAATTCCTCATGAGCCCTATGTACCTTTGCGATTTCTTGTTCCAATTTTTGAGATTTAGCAACTTTACTATAACACCGTTCTAATTCTAATTTTAAGGCACTGTTTTCTTGGATTATGATCTGTATCATTTCAGATGGCGGCCAAATTTCACCACTTGCAGATTCTGTTTCCTCTCTTCCTTTGGTCTGAGGTCTATAAAAATATAAAGAACAACATATTATCTATAATAAACAATTGTTAAACGTTAACTATCTTCAATTATCGTTTTATTTAATTCACCGTGGAGAAGTGGTGCGTAAATTGTAGTTATCAATATCTGGTTTGCCAATTCTAGATAGGTCAGGTTGTGATCTTGATAGCGTCAATTTTTCCATTGGTCCAAGAAGTCGAGATTTATTTTTTAAAGGTAACAAAACAGACATATATGAAGGCGGTGGTCGATCTTCTGACTCGCTATCATTTTGTTTCCCTCTGTCAGCATCTCTCATTCTCATATCAATATTTCCTCCATTATTTGTTAACTTACTGTATGATGGTACTTTAACTTCTTTTGCAAGATGTTTTAATACCTGCTTGGTTTAAACCAAATAAAATAATACTAATGAAAGAACAATCATGTTCAACAAAGTTCATTGCAAGAATATGTAATAATGTTTAATTAAAAGAAATCTCAAGCATTAATGTGTTTCATTATAATGCTAATAAAATAATCACCTGTGACTGACTAAGATAATCATCTGGTATGTCTGTAATTTCTTGACATCCTCCATTACTAGGTTGCTCATAAACATGGTCTTCATGAGATAAATTTGATAAAGACTGCATAGTAGGACTGTTTGAATGTCCTTTTCCACCACCATCACAATACAAGTAACCCATATCTCCATGCTCTCTTACTACACCTGATAACCTAAAATTAAATAATTAGTGCTTGTTAAACATTTATGACAAATTTGCAGATATTTTGTAATTACTCCTAGGAAATTTCTATTACCTTCCAGATGGTACCCATGAGTTGTCATCATTAGCATTGTGTATAATAAGTGTATTGTAGGAGCTTGTAGATACATCTAAGCTACTTCTATTGGAGCCTACACTGGTACGATTACTTAAATTATCTTTCAAACTATTTCTATTAGAACCATTAATGCTGTCTTTAAGGCTATTTCGATTGGAACCATTCAAATTCTCTTTCAAACTGTTTCTGTTTGATCCAGTCAAACTGTCCTTCAAACTGTTTCTGTTGAGCAGATTACCCTGGATTGCAATAAAATAGTTTGCACTTATGTAACTTAATAATAGTGTATGTAAGAATAATATAGGTGAGTAATTTGGTATTAAAAAACAACCATTTATTACAAAGACAAGAATAAAATAAAAATATATGATAAAAGTGACTACAATTCTTCAACAGATGAAAAATGTGAAAACACTATACATGTATACAATTAAAAGTATAAATTACAGTTGGTAAAATTATTAAAAATGTTATGTAAAAATATGTAATGAATGAATTTAGTCATACTTACTTGTATATTTGGTATATTTTCTTTATGACTGGAAGATCTAGATGGACTTTGCTGTTGATTCTCTTGACCTTGAGGTTCTTGGCGAGCTGTGTGTCTTATAACATAGCGATCTTCATTGGTTAAATTCTCATTTGATGTTGAAACATCAGTTTCACTGCCACTCAAACTTTGTGGAAGACCACCTATCAAATATACATTGCACATGTTTTGAAGAATGTTGAGTTTACAATATTTTACAAATGAAATACATTTGAAAAAAGTTTAGAAGAGGTACACAATTTTTAATTACATATATGAATTTCATTATTCTGAAATATTTTAATAGTTTAAAGTACATATATTACAGAATTATACCTTGCATTGATAGTTGCTTCCTCTGTATATTATTATTTGAAAAAGGCAAGAATCTGCTACCTTGTTGCAGAGAACTCATTTTTCTATTTTTTCATTTACACCTTTTTTATTTTATCTGCAAACACAATATCAAAATTAGTTTCTAACAACTGCTCCAAAAGAACCAGTGCATTTACGTTTCATCTCTTTAGGCACATGTTAATAAATTAATATTAATATCATATTAATAAATTAATCGATTTAATAAAGATTACTTTATTTTAATTTCACCTATTCCTTGCACACTTGCACGTGTAACGTTACAAAACTTCACGTATAAAGGTTTATCTTTACACACTTTCAAGAAAATTCGAATTTTTAGCATGCTTATCCTTATAAAAAGATTTTAGAAGACATTTCATTTAAGTACTTCACCTCGAAACTGGTCGAGAAGACGAACGAAAAAGATGCGAACAATACTCACAGATTAATCACTCTACATCTCTGAATGTTAAAAACCACTGGTAACGTAAACCTATTCATGCATTCTTCTACTTGACACTACGCGGCATTCGAAAACGAGAAAGAAAGAGAGAATTACGAGAAGACCGTGTACGAGAAAGAGATAGTGATGTTATAGTAATGGTAAAGCAGAGCACTCTGACAGAGGTGTCAACACTCTGGAATGTTGATAATCCGGAGATATTGAATTTTTCGTTGATGCGTAACATCGTAGCGGGAAAGTATTCGAGGTCTCATGAATTCGACTCATCAGTATATGCACGTTGCAAACTCGAGAACGCAGCTTTTGCATGCGATCTTTAATATTTTTATAACTTTCTGAACTTGAAGGGCTGTATAAATAAACAAAAGAATATACTCGAACTTCTCCTAGCGAGGGTTTTTCACATGCCGCGTTATCGAAATACAAGCAGATGGTCCTATCGAATTGTTGTCCGATTACTCACATTATGCGGAGGTGCAAAAACGGGATGAGTGTCGTAATAATTTCAATAAATTAGTACACTTTACTGCTCCACGCACGAGAAATAAAAATTGCTAGTTCCCGCATTCCTCATCAGGGTGCGACGTATACGAAAGCGGGATATGCTCTTCCTGACTCTTCTAAACTTTCCCAACTTTTTTCTTCGTCCATAGATGAATCACTAAAAAGCAATGTACGCTGAATATCATCCCCATACCTTTTTTAAATATTTTGTTACGATCGATGTAACAGTTTCTTTCTTTTTCAACCAACAAAACAAAATGTTTTTACATTTTATTCTAAAGTAAGAAATTTATGCCAAGTTCATTATATCTTTGAAATATGCAATTTAAATTCTTACGACAGACTTCTAATTTATTTTCGAGTAATTATTGATTCAAATTAAATATTTTCAAACACATAGATTCCATTTCAAGTTGAATCGAATTAAAATAAATTTCGTTGGTATCATTCTTTGATATAAATGGTTAAGTCACGTTCATTAGTATGTAACAGTGTTTAAAGAAAATTATCTCCGTAAAAGTTGATATCAGACAGTATCGTTATCTTTCACGTTGTGAAGAAATGCGATTATATCTTGGCACTGGGTCATTTAAAATACTCGATGCAATAAATAGTAAAGTACTTGGAAAAGTACAAATTTACTTTAGAACGCAGCTTAACTTATAACATTTCCATAGCTACAATGTCTGTCTACTATATCGTAATTTAGTAACCTGCATACAGTACATGTTGTTTAATTGCAGACGAACCAAAAATGTTCAACATTAATAAATTAATTATGAATTTTAACAAATCGCAACAGTTTTGTAAATTTATTTCTTCTAGATTGTTACATAATAATTCATATCTTACACCAGAAGCATTTGTCTATCACAAATTGTTAAAAATCACTTCATGCAGAAGACTTTCTAGTCACGGTAATTTACAAACAAAAAATAGTAAAAAAAGTAGAGATATCTGTCAAGCCACTTATTGACAATTTTTAAAAAATATAGAAAATATCTTTTCATTTGCACACTTTTGTGATCTATTTTAAAGCTACTTTATAATTTGAACTGACATGTTTTGTAAATTTGTTTATTGTAAATATACAATTTTATTTATGATGTGTCAAACATGTGTTTTAGTGCAACCAAGTGTACATTTATCAACCTCAACACTTCTTAATACTGATATTAACACAATGTCTGCTGATGGCAAAAAATCTTTAAATGTTCATTATAATGATATTTTAAAAGCTCAAAATGATACTAGTGTTTTAATCATTGATGTAAGGGAAAAAGAAGAAATTGACGAAACTGGAAAATTACCTGGAAGCATTCATATACCAAGTGTGTTTCAATATCATTAGATCAACTTAATTTTATTGTTTAAAAAATTAGATAATTATTATTAAATTCTGTTACTATAGTGGGAGAAGTTGCAAATACTTTGTTGAGCCTTACAGAAAAAGATTTTAAGAATAAGTTTGATAAAACAAAACCTTCAAAGGACACAAAGATCATATTAAGCTGCAGATCTGGAAAAAGAAGTGGCATGGTTCAAGAAGAAATACAAAAACTTGGATATGAAAAGTATTCATATGCTAAGCATAAATTTTAATATATACATATTTTAGTATTGTTCTAAATAAATATATTTATTCTGTTTCAGTGCATACAACTATGTTGGGGGATGGCTAGATTGGGAAAGCAATCAAAAAGTATAAACTTGACACATCATAGTAATTGTTTCTATATGAAGATGTATGTGCTAATAAATTGTTATCAATAATTTAAAATTAAAACGTTTAACTTGATCCTAATTAGTAATTCTTGTATTATATAATGTATAATCAATTAATTTAATATATTTACATGTACTTCAATGTATGTATACATACGTGTATACAAATATTTGATCATGTATTCATTGTCTTTATATACATAGTCATATAAGATGAACAAAATTTTTTATACAAAATGATAACATTACTTTTTTTTCTGTTCCTGAGCCAATTTCTGGTTAACCATCTCTCTAAACTGTCCCAAAATAAGATTCTCTCTCTTTTGTCGTTCTTCTTTACTAAACATAGCCAACGCTCGTTTTTCATCAGCTGAATAAATCTGGTTCTCTTTACGAATACGAACAGCTTCCATTCGTCGATGTCTACAAAAAAATAAGGTTAATATTAGAATATATTTCTATCAATTTTATTGCTGTTTTATAATTTCCATCAGCAAATAATTTTAAAAGGGTATGTTACCTGCTGCCACTCATGACATAGCCAACAGATTCATATGCTGCAATCTCTTCTGAAGTCAAACCAATTTCACCTCTCCTAGGTATACGTTTTCCTTCTGCTACATATGCAGCCATAGCTGCACCTTCACCTGGCAACAGAGCTTTGCCAAAGTCTTTAGCAGATAACGTCACATGTGGTTTTTGAACTGGCCCTACTATGCTTTCATCTCCACTGTCATCTGAGCTTGATCCTCTCTTAACTTTTGTTTTATCATTAACTCCATTCTTTTCTACCCACTCCAATTCTTCAGGCTCAGTATCAGAACTGGTATCTGACTTTTTCTTTTTCTTTTTCTTCTTTTTTTCCTTCTTAGCTTTCTTTTCCTTCTTTAATTTCTTACTTTTCTAAAAGAACAATGAAGCATTGCTATAGTCAAATAGTTTATAATAAAAGCACATAATAAAATAGGTCTCATATATTCACATTTAATAAAAAAGTACTTAAAGCAACGAGAATAGCTTCTGTACCTTTTTCTTCATCTCATGTTTTCTTTTTCTATCCTTTGGTATAATACTATCTTTGTATTTATTAATCTCCTCATCTTCTTCTGAGCTATATTAACAACAAAACATTTACCATGTACACATTATTTATAGTAACCAAACAATGTTAGTTGTGGCAAACAAACGTGACAACATCGAAATTATTGGCATTCACATTGATAAAATAATTTAAATAATACAGATATCGGAATTAGTAAGGAACATTGCAGTATCTTACTCTTCGATTCGTGTTGGCGATTTACCCCAAATTCTATCGACACCACATAACCCAATTTGCTCTCTGTCTCGTCTACGTGCGTCCATTGTCATAATTATCTTGCTTGTTTACATGCCCATGTCACGATTTAAAATAGGTTACCATGACGCCCCCTAGTTTAAATCACAAACATTAAAAAAAATCAGCGGATTCTACGAAATTCATTTGTAAGATAATTAAGATGTATATTCTTGCCGGCTTCTTTTCATAAATATTAAATTTAAAACTGCTATATATAATTTCAAACTATTTCTAGGAATATTTTTATATAGAAAAAAATAGAATAGAAAAAAGGTGCACAGATGAAACGTAGATAGAAAAGTAAAAATAATTTCGAGACTTTATTGTTTGTCTGTTTCATAAAACATTCTGCAGAGAAGGAATTTCAATGTGAATTCCAATAATGTGGTATCAAAACATGTTTTAATAAATATCAATAAAAAATACATTACACAAAATATCTACAATGATTACAAAGATCGATATAAAATTACATGTCTCTGGACAGCATCACTGTCCGAGACTTATAAATGTACAAAGTAGCAATTGTCGTCGTGTCTAATCGTAATGTTAGTAATATCTATTGTAATTAATAAATATTATAATTATGATCCTCTCCTTCGTCAGTACTCCGATAGAAAAATATCCGTAACAATTCCAGTTATTTAAAATCCTAAGCATCATGCATTTCCAAATAATATAAAGAAAATACGTAGTTTAATAATATACCGTTACAGTGAAAATTATTGCAGCTGCGTTAATATTGAACTGATTCATTGGAATTCAAGGAAGTGCTTTCGTAAACAAGATTCGATAATTAATACTTTCGTAATAACAAAGATATGACAAGGCACTCTTAACAAGTCTATCCTTTCCCATTCCTTTCTTTTATCTATGAAAACCTCATTTCTAACCAACATTATGTCTCAAGAGGTACGTACACATAATACTTCCTCCATTAATTCTTGAAGCTTGGTTTTCATTTCGCGTCGATTATAATCATTCGAATGATATTGTAATTAATTTTATATGAAAAAATTGCAAAAAATATATCATTTGTATGTAAAATCTATTTATAGAAATTGAAATTAGAAATTCGTCTTAAGCAATTTTACGATACGAAGCAAAAATAGAATTCAATGTTCTTCGAATAATTATAAACGATACTTCAACGTAAAGGAGGAATTAGACTTGTTTTAAAAATTTCAATTAAAATTAAAATCCTCTCTCCCTACATTAAAATCAGCAAAAAATATTGCAATAAATCAATTCTCTGAGTTTTCATATTTATGAATTGTAAAATTGTGACAAGAATAAAATCGAACACGAATTTCATATGATTGTTTCCTTACAATTACATTATCTTAATACTTTCTTGTATTGTCGAGAAATACCGTATAAACGCAACGAAAGGATGATTAACACCATTGCAGGGTAAACTATTGTATTCGTTGGAATATAGAAGCACCATCGATTTACGCTGTAATCTCTATGAAAATAACTACACTAGTTTTCATAAAAATTACAACGCTGAATATCAAATCAAGAAAGATACTGAGCGATCGCAAAAACTTTAATACATTAAAAGTATAAGAAAATCACACTTCACTATAACCAAAACATTTAGAAAGAACACTCTGTATCTCGAATTAGTCATAAATTGTGTTTTGAAAAATTGTGAATTAAATTATAAAAATTATCGTATCGATAAAATTCAAATAAATACAACATACCGAAAAATTCACTGGTAACATATCAAAAGTATTTTTACCATTGATAAATATTTATCTAAATGCTATATAATAAAAGTCGTGTTAAAATTTTTGCAATCACCCAATATTCTCGATATTTTGACTAAATGTTTACATACACCTCACTTATTTCATAGTTTCTCGTTAAATAAATAAACTTCGTTCGTCGAATTACAGACTGTTTCGAAGAAAAGTGTCCAAAGGAAATTTATTTCAAACCGCTTAACGCTCATAAAAAAAACGATAGACATTTTGTTTCTTCAGACTTTGCTCAAATTTTCAGCAAGGAAGCTCAAGTCAGAAAAGCACTTTGTCTCTTACGTAAGTATACCGTCCCTTAGTTCTTTTTATGTTTTTCGAACGTCACGCCTCTAAAATATCTCTAGCTCCTGTGAATTTCTACTTTACATGCGTATCCGAAATTTTTAAGAATTTCATTCGTACACTGATTCCCTATGCAACTGTATAGTGGTTACTTTTATTGTTACGCACTAATACTGTTTCGTCTAAAATGACGCAGTTTATCATAAATAGATGGAGTAAATTGTTGTAAAGTAATCGTTACAACAAATAAAATCGTTCGCATATTTATCGAATTAAAATAAAATTTCTACACTGAAACATAATGGATCCCTGTACTTTGTACTAAAAAAAAATATATATATATATCGCATATTAAAAGGGAGAAATTTCGTATGTGATTAAAATTCGAAGGAAAATCAAAAGAATCTTCGTTCAATAAATTGTAAAACACAATGCAAGAAGTTCTAAAGAGAAAGAAAAGAAAAATGTCCGTAAAAAGATTTATCGATTAAATCGTTGAAATTCATTATTTTACATATGTTTATGTACAAAAACGAGGCTTACAGTAGCGAGACACTGTAGAAATTTTGGAAATAACAACCTTCGTAGTAAGCACTTCGGTATAGCAATAGATCATTGGTATCATCTTAGATTTTTCGTTACAATATACTATAACAAAGTGACGAAAACGTTTATCCGTGTTTTCGTTTTGCCCTGGAGATCCGAAAGAGGAATAAGAGGAAGATCAACCTATACCATAAGATAAATAACTAACCATCCCTATAGGATAAGATGAACACGATTACATGTCTCAAGAATAAAACTTCTCGATATATTATTGCTCAGCCAATATCAATTATCACGTACCAAAGCAATTCCCGGTTCGTCGTTTTTAAAAGCGCGCGCTTTGGTTCGTCATTGATCGACTGTATACGAATCGGGCTTGATAACAATCTTCTTTCTAAAAAAGAACGAATCATGGCAGTGTGACTCTTATATAAATTTCCATCAGAAAATCTCGATGACGGTGCCCGGTGTTTATCTGACGCGTTAATTAATCGTTACTCGCATCCGGAATTATAAAACATCATCCCGGCAGGAACTCAGTACATTCGAATGAATAAAAATGTACAAACCGCTACGCAAACAAATGTAGTTTAAAAATGTAGGAATAGATCAACAAAATTTGTGTTTGCTTGTTGGTATTTGGATGTTTCGAATTTGGTACTTTAATCCTCAAACTTGTAGACTGAAATACCTCAATAAAACCCTGTCCAAACATTGAAATACAATTACACTATACGATTAACCTTCTTATCGAGGACTTAAACCAGTAAACCGCGGAATCGATATGATAAAAACAAATCGTCGATACAACTTGAAATGCGTTTAAGAACAAAGAGAGAGAGAGAGAGAGAGAGAGAGAAAGAGAGAGAGAGAGACACACACAAAACGATACACAGTTGACTATCTTTTTTATACATAAAGCGAATCGGTCGATTTCATACAGCAAATAACCAGACAAAAATCCTTCAATATACGACACAGGTCACTCAGTTTCCATTCTACCGTTCGAGGATTAACGCAATCATCCAAACATCTCGTTACATCCGCGCGAAGATTTCCCGAACGAGCGTCGAATCATACAAGAGCTTCCGTGTGGTAATGATGGTAATGATGATGAATGTGCTCGTGAACGTGCTTTCGACCGGTACTCGCTGCCGCGTTCTGCGAGAATTCTCGTTCCAGCCAACGTACGACCTGGACCATCGCTCTTGCCTGATCTTGTTCCCTGGTCGCGTGTTTCAGTTGATGCTTCTTGCTCGACTTGCCGCATTGCTGCGTTTGACCGAACTGCGTCGCCTCGTTACGCTGTTGTACATTATGATTGCTCGGCGGGGTCTGATTCATAGGATGCTGATTGTTTGTTGCCAGATTGCCGACGTTACGATTCGCGTTTGGGGTGGTGGTGGTGGTGGTGGTAGTGGTGGTGGTGGTGGTGGTGGTAGTGGTGGCGGCAGCAGTGGCGGCAGCGGAGGCGGCGTTGGTCTGTTGATCCGCGTACGCGTTCGTACTGGTCATGGTACGTGGTAAAACTTGCGGTTGAACGTATGCTCGCGGCGGTTGCACCGTAGCAGCGTTGTTCCTCTGAAGACCGTACTGCGTCCGCGTCTTCCTCAGATTCCCCCGTGACTTCGCAGGTACCTTGGAGAACGACGTGAAGCCCTGAGGCTTTTCCCGAGTTGGCTTGTGGTAGGCTGTCGCCGCAGGCCGAGATTCCGACGGTGAACGACAGTCTTGATTGTAGTGAGGCGAAGGCTCGACGTGCGGGGTTTGGGATGGAATGCGCAGTTGCTCGTTCTGATGTCGTTTCCTGGATTGACAGACGTGCGAAGTTTTCTTCCATTAGTAATTCTCTTCTCGAACAGTAATCAGATGGAATTATGCATTTATTCTAATTATATGTATTCTTTTCGGCGAGAAGAAGAAGAAGAAGGGGAGGAGGAAGAAAGAACGTGTGCACGGTATATATGTCGTGCTAGATGGTACGGCAAAAATATTGTATGTTCTCGGTATACTTGCAAAAAGACGCTAAATCAATATAGTACGTGTGGTTAGTTTCTTAGAAATTCAATTTGAAGTTTTACAATAGATCTAGAAACAAATGACTGAAACGTGACTTAAAATTCCAAAAGTGAATTTCTATGCAATGTAAAACCCAATTAAAAAATTTGTTTCGCATTTCACGAAGAAAACAAAGGACGTTACAAGCAATAATACTTATCAGACAGAAAATTCAATTTTTTTTGTTGTAAATACTGCCAATGGGTCATTTCTGACCCGGCCGCTCCTCCTAGTATTAATTTAACACGTTGAATGCCACGCCAATTTTACAGGGATTGTCCGTGGCGCCACGATGAATTTTCTATTATGCGATACATGTAATGTTGAAATATTATCTGCAATAGATAAGTTACAGTGTATAACAATGTTTGGCATGTTAATTGCGACGGGGGTCACCGGTGGCCCCCATGGCGTCACTGCCAAGTTGAGTGCCGGTCACCGGTGACCCCCGTGGCATTCAACGTGTTAATAAAAAAAAAATCCTTTATTTCTTATATTACAACTATGCACGTATTATCGGTACCTAAAGTGTTAATTTGTATTTTTCCTACTGAACTTGTTTTACTTAGTACACCGAAGACACTGCAGTTCGAGAGAATAATAGAATAATATTGTTCCAGTGAGATAATCATATTAGAAATCTATCGTTCTTCTCTTTTATCGTTCTTTTCCCCTTAAAACAAGGAGAATGTCGCGATTTTCCGCACGGTTGAACGCGAAAGGCCGTACCTTGACGTATGAAAACTGAGATTATTCTTTTCCATGTTCGCCTGAATAATTTCCAAGAGCTGTTGCCTTTGTAGGGCGCCACTGCGTTTTCGCTGATTAGTCGTGAGAAGAGGCGTCAAGGGGGAAACTGCGGGGGAAACATCACTGTCATCGCTAATATCACCCTCGGAGCTATTGGAATAGGGTGATGGTAAATGAGGCACGGGCCCCACCCTTCTGCGTAATTCCTCCTGCTTTATTCGATTCGTTCGCGCGTTTTCACCGTCATCCTCGCTGTGGGTATCCACCTCTTTCTGTTCGTTCTGACACAGACAAAAGGAAAATATTTTCATTCACCGTATTAACAGCATTACTAAATACAAAGCGCCGAACTGTCGAGGGAGTTTTTCGAGATTCTTTTAATCCTCTTCTTTTTCTTTTTTGTATTTGTTAAATGTACTTTCGGTATTTTTAACAATACTGTTTTCTTTTTCTTTTTTTTAAATCATCGATAGTTAGAAAGAAATTGTAGTCTCGTTTTCTGATAAGTGACCGAGTTATTTTTCACGTCAAATTATTGGCTCCCAAATAGAATATCGATTATTGGAGTTCATACGAGATGAATGTAATTATCAGGAGAGGACGCTTCAACAATGCGTTGTATTTGAACTGACCAGATTTTCTCGAGGCAAATTCGGTACATTTTTAATAAAAATATATATACTCCGTAAGTGTGATCAAGTGAAGTTGTATTTTAATCGAATTATTGTATTTAACGAATTAGAAGAAATAAATGAATCAAAGATACGTAAGTACTTGATACTTAAACATTAGTTACACATATTTATTCGAATGAGAATCACTTTCGATAATTTGTCATTGTTTAAAATTTCTTCATAAAATTTGACCACAGTTTACATTAATTACAATTTATATGTTTTTCAAAGTATCTAAACCCTAATTCATTTCTTTCATCGTCCAAATTTTCCCAATTATTGAAAACGCTCGTTCAACTGGTGCATTCAGTTGCTTCAATTATACATTTCCTTCCTGTACATTCAGTTGTGTCTTTTGAAAAGTCAGTACAGCATTCGGTAAAAAATTTAAATCACTTTTTTCTTCTTTTCAGAAATTCAGAATTGTTTTTCTCAAAACTTTCCCTTTAACTCCGCCAAACTCCTAGAAACATCCCTCAGAATCGCTTCTCGGAATCAAATATCCAGGTTACACGGGCACACGTAACTATTTCATTCACTGGCCAAAGGAGTTCAACGAACACCGTGTACCGATACAACCAAAAAAGAAGCCAACACCGATACACAATAAAAAAAAAAAGAAAAAGAAAAAGAAAAAAAGAAGAAGATCGAATAAAGAGGAGAACAGCCTCTTCTCTCTCTCTCTCTCCCCTGTCTCTCCCCCCGAGCGATAAATCTCTAAAGGCAGAAATGATAAATCCGCTTCTAGCTTCTAGAATTGTCGGGTTACGAAAGAGGAGGATGCGGCTCCATAAAAACCCGAGGC